CTAGCTCTGCACTAACCAGCAAGGTGACCTTGGGCAATTAACCTCTGATCACCTGTTTTCTCACCTGGGCAATGGTGATAATAATACCTATTTTTCAGGATTATTGAGTATAACATGAAAGAATTTATGTGAATTCATAGGTTAGAGTTGACACATAAACATTCAGAAATGTTGACTTGTGTGATTACAAAGATGAAGAAATAGAGGATTGGAGCATAGGCTTGGGAGTTAAAGTACTTAAAGTTCTGCTTGCAGAATAAATTTCTGTGATAATAATGCATGATGCAGCTTCATGGAATTAAAAAAAGAAGAAAACCCCTCACACTTCATCACAATAACGTTTGCCACATTAGCACAGGCTTCCCATTAGCGCTTCCCCGTGGAGTGTGGAGAGCTCTTCACTTGCACTCCCTCCCAAGTCCCATTTCATTTTTTATTTTGTTGTTGTCTTTTTTAAAAAAAGAAAAGTCAGGTTGTGTTGATTATCTGTTATTACTTTCAGATAAGAACATGCTTTCGTTTATTGAAATTAGATCCCAATTCACGGCCTTGGCACACTCTGGGCTGTCTACTCTAGAGGGTTTGGGGCTTGTTAGATAGCGCACAGTTGGAAATCGGTAGCATTGAGTGGCTGCCAAGACTGACAAGCCTTTAAGATGGCATCTGGTGACCTTTTTGCTGAGCCCCTTGGGTCCTCTGTTTGAGATATGATGTTCTCAGCAGGGGTAAAATCCAAATCAAATGTGAGATCTAGTGAGCTGGAGCTACATGGGAGGTGGGCCCAATGGGGGAATCTCTGCACTGCTTTGGGAACGGGATGCCTCTAGATGCCCTTGCAATGTTTCTTTCTAACCCTGAGACTCTAAGCTGTAGCAGAGAGTGGCACTAAAGGGCTGATTTGCAGAATGAGAGAAGGAACAATTGAGTAGTTTTCTCTACATTTACTTATCATGCAGCAATACAATAATCCTCCATAATGGCTCTAGTTCCCAGGTGACCTTAAACTCTTCAGTGTGTCCCTGAGAGCAGCAGCTGAGGATAGAAGTACATAGGAGGAAGCCAGCTTTGTCTTGCTTCCAAGAGAGTATTGATGGCATGTTTTTAGTCTATTGAAATTGCAGATTTCTATTTTCAGTATTGCAGGTAGAGAGCACAGAAGCACAGGAGAGCTGTGAGTTTGTGAGCAGCAGAACAGCCAGCATGTGTTGACAAAACGTTTGTGCTAATGTCAGATACATGCTGTCTCTTAGCTGTGGAGTCATTTTCATGATAATTTTAAATTGCTATGTATGTTTTTTTAAAAAATACAGGTTTTATTCTTAACAGATTTAACAGGTTATTTTTTGTTTTATATCTACTATGGTTGTTTTAACAGACAAGCAGATACATTTCACATTTCTCAGGCAATTCTGTCCTGACACTGCCCACAGAAAGATTTTCAAGGTGATAGAGTGAAGATGATTCATTTCCCTTGGCCTCCCTTGGGAAGGGCTGACTCTCTGCCCCTCTGCCCACTTTTGCCTATAAATCCTGCATTACCTGCCCTGGTTGCCTCCTCCTCTACTTTCTGCTCCTCATGTAATCCCAAACCTCCATGGATCTTCTCCCAACTCTTCTTCAGGCAGTAGGAGTTCAGGTGCAACCAGGTAGACAGGTTTAAATTCTGGCTCCACTACTGAAAAGCCAGATAGAATTGGACAAATCAAACGAACTCTCTGACCCTTAATTCCTTCATGCTAAAATGAGAATAATATGAACACCTAGCTATAGGGTTGATCTGAAGGTTAAATAAACTAGTGTATGTAGCTGACTGTAGTTTGACTATCATGTGGTTAAATGCTCAGTAGCACCATTATTTTTGCTACAACTGCAAACCATAGCTATTTCCCATTAAGTTTTTTTGTGGCAAAATTGGTGTATAAGACTATGTATATTTCCATTATACAACATTATAATTCAACATCTCTGTACACTACATAGTCTTCACCACGGTAAGTCTAGTTACCATCCATCACCATATAGTCAGTCCCCTGTGTCCCTTGCCCTCTCATAACCACCAGTCCATTCTTTGTATCTATGAGTTTGTTGTTGTTTTGTTTTATCTATTTGCTTAGTTTTTTTAGACTCACATACAAGTGAAATTTCTTGGTATTTGTCTTTCTTCACCTGACTTATTTCAGTAATTTCTCTTATGAATTTCAAATAGCACTAATTCTTTATAACATTCACTTGATATTTATCTCTGTGCTAATTAGGTATGTTTCATATTATTTATAGAAATTATATATCAATTTCTTTAAATACTTTATAGAAATATATTTATATGCACATATATATATGCATGTCATAAGTGTACTCTCACTGAATTTTCACAAACATGTTACTGCCGTGAAAAAATCATCCAGATCAAAAAGCCAATATCCCAGAAGCCCTCCTGGTATTGTCTCCTGGGTTCTGCAACTCTCCAAAAAATAACCACTATCTAGAAGCTATCTAACTTCTGGAAGCAAGTTATACCAGTTGTTAACTTTGTTATTTGTGTTATTTGGGACAACCATATGAAATTTTTTCTTGATGTCAGGGACCATATGTCATACACCTCCTGTTACTGCAAGAACTATTTGCTAAATATGCATGTTTTTCTTCTCTATTCCCATCTTGCTCTGTTGTTATTCAACTGCACCTGCCTGGCAAAGCCCCAGGCCTGAACGCACCCCACTGCCTGTCTTCTTCGCATCTCCACAAGGACTACTAGGCAATACTAGAGGGGCACATTCACCCTCTCAGACTGATGCCACAACATCACCATCTCCTGCCTTCACTGACACTCACTTCCACACAGCCAACTTTTCTGCTTTTTATGATCAGCTGTCTTTGACCTTTCATAGCAGCTATTTCAAGCCATCTACCCTTAATCAGACTTCCTACCCCAGTATTTCCCTCTTGAGAGACAACAGGTAACCATATAGTATATGACAAAAAGAAAATTCAAGCTGTCTGAATTTAATCAACGTCCTGTCACCAAATGTATGAATAAATTTGCCTACATTCTCACCTAACTCACTACCTGAGGTTTCATTTCTGCCTCTGTTCCCTCAGTGACTGCCCATTTCACTTTGTCAGGGTTCATCTTATTTTATCAATAAAGTTCTCTCCTTTTCTCTGGTTCTGGTGGCTCTTCACCATTGGGACTTAAATGTATTAAAGTCCCTACTATCTTTCAACAAGATACTAACAAAGCCTCATCTGAAACCCACATTGCTCCTCAGTCACCACCCCATTTCTCTCCCCTCTCACAACCAAACTTCTTTGTAGAGGTCTTTATACTTCTTGTCTTCAGTTTCTTGTCCCTGCTCTTTTCCAACCCACTTCAGTCTAGCATCACCTCCATTATCTCACTGAAGCTCCTTTATCAAGATTCCTGATGATATCCTTGTGGCTTGATTCAGTGGGCGCTTTTCAGAGCTTACCTTTCTCTGGAGTACTGGACGCTGTTGAGTATGCCTTCTGCTAGAACCCATACTCCTGGTTCCCCACTACCTTACTGAGAATTTCTTCTAAATTCCCTTTTAGGGCTCCTCTTCCCTCTGTAAATGTAGATGTTCCTCAGAGTTCTTGCTTAGGCCTTCTTTCCTTCTCATGCTGCCACAACCAATAGGATTACTATAAAAAGAATACATATATTTAAATCATTGCCTATGGTTTGTTTTTAATCAAATCAACAAATATTGGGGCAATTATTTTATGCTCACAAGGTGTGACATACTTTAAAATAGATCCTTTCTACTATACCAATAATAACATCTAGAATTTATAGAATCCCTTTTGGATGTAAGCTATAACTATTTAGAAATTTCTTTTTCCTGATTATAAAATAATATTTTCTCATTAGAAAAGTTAGAATAGTTTTATAAAGTATAATGTGATAGAATAGAATAGAATAGAATAGAATGGGATATACTAAGTTTTACTATCCAGAGATAATTACTATTTACTTCTAGTCCCTGCTCGTTTCCAACCCCCACATATACTATATACTCTTACACATAAACACCTATACTCACATACATGCTTCGTACATAGTTAAGATAATTGTATTTTTCACTTATTTATATAATTGGACATTTTTGTATCATTAAAATTATTACTATTTTAATGGATCTATATAGCCCATTATATGAATACAGAATAAAATATTCAACATATACATGCATTACTAAGTATTCAGTTTTGTTTTTTTTATACCTCCTACCCATCATAATTGCCACACTGTTGTCCATGTCCATGAGGACATGGTTAAAGAATGTCAACTTTCTGACTACTAATACATTCTGGTGGGTCACCCACTATATTAATTATATTTATTTATGATTCCACTAGCATTTTTATTTTCAAAACAGGTTTTCTATATTTAAAATTGTGCCTTGTAATTGTTTTAACTTGTAATTCTTTAGTAATTAAACAAGTTTGGGTGATTTTTAAATTTTGTTTATTACTTGCATTTCTTTGAATCTATAGGCTTTTTTCTTGTCTTTATGTAGCATTACACTTAAATGGAGGACTAATTAGAGGAAACGAAGCCTCAAGGTAAGGAGTTGAGAAGAGATAGAGAGCAGAACTGGAGCTGGCAAACTGCCCTGAGTTTCTTCCTTTTCTAGTTACAAACACTAAAAATGCCTTTGAGACTTGTAAGCAAGATACGTGATAATCTATAGGGTTCACTTTTGACACTGCCATTACTTACAGTAGGAGTCTGGGAGCAGATGGATAGATTATCTTTATGAGTATGAGGAAGAGGATAGGGGAAAATAAAGCCTAAGGAAATAACATGGCCTCTCCCTGGTAAATGATCCACAAACAAATAACCAACATTTACTTCTTCATTCCACTATGCTTGATTACCACTGTTCACACCAAAAAACACCTTCCATTTCTTATGCCAGCCTACTGCATGCGAATCTGCCCTGTAAGTAACAGAGTGAAAAATCATTTCTTCACAGCAAGAAGAATGAGAACCTGAAGCCAGAAACTTGAAGAGTGCTCCAGAAATCTGTGACTAGTAATACAAAGCAGATGAGCAGAGACCCCCCCGGTCCCAGCAGGCTCACTGATCATCAAATCAATCATGACCCAGATGATGGGGAAGAGAGCAAGCACCCAGAGAAGTACCAGAAACCAAAGAACAACCAGAAACTCCTAACAGGAGCACTCAGTAGCAGATTTCTGGATGGCACAGTGAGTGACAAATATCCCAACTTTTCTTGGTAATTGGCTAGTCAGGAAATTCAGAGTTAAAACAGAAGCACAGAACCACACTAACATACATGTGTACTAATGGTAATTAATGTACTTTGCATAAAATACAATTAGAATGAAATTTTTCATTCTGAAGTAAATTTTGAGGTTGTGAGTATATTGCACCTTTTTTGGTCGCCAGTTGAGTTGGTCTGTGGCTCACTCAATGACGGTCACACAGGGGTAATTATCACTGTACATACAAATTTGGAGTAGGTTGGTGGGGAGAGTGTCTATCTTCTTTAACACTACAGGGAGAGATTGTTTACTTTCAAACCATATGTAGATATCAAAAACTTATCAGCCCAGAACTATCTGGATAGAAATCTGTATCACTGCACTCTATTAAGAATCAACTAAATAATCATCCACAACAAACTAACTTAATAATGATGAATCTATATGATTAGTGATTTGTAATTAAAAAACAAGAATACCAGCAATTGAAAACTGGATCCAAATCAAGACAAAACTAGCAATTCATTGATAACAAAGTACCATTTCCAAAAATTGCTGAAATGGCAATCAAATGGGTAAGCAGCGTAGGAGTTTTGCAGCACTGCCAAGCATTACATGACAGCCAGATATTTTAATAGAATACTGAATTAGAATCTCAGTGTACTCTAACATAACTATTTTTAGATTATAATTTTAATAGCCCCTACTAAATCACTCAGATGCAAGCTACTTTTAGTTACATGAGAAAATAAAAGCCTATGATTTATGACATTTGTTCATAAGAATTCTGAAAAAAAAATTGCAACTTGGAGTGGTTAACAAGCCACCAGTGGGCTTGTTACACTGGACCTCAAATGAGAATAACATCTCTGAAAGGCCTACTTGAACCTCAGACCATACTCTGAAAGGCCTCAGACCATACTCTGAAAGGCCTACTTGAACACTGGGGCCCAGAAATAAAAGGGACTTGCCCAAAATGTCAGTGGCACAGCCTATGCCGGAACTCAGGCTTCCTAATCCCCAGTTAATGTGTTAACTGTTTTGTTTTCTCATTACGAGTCTTTGAATTTAGGACTTGGTTGAAGTGGAACAATGCATCTGCAGACGTATAAAAATCTCCTATGAACTTCTAAAGACCTCTGAGTTTCTATCTGACTCTGGCATTAATATATTTGTTGTTGCTGTTCCCCAAGGATGACCTTGGTAAGAATATTATAGTTATAAAATACTTCACTGTTGCCTGATCGCTGTCAGGTAAATTGTATCATTTGCTCCTTGGACTTAACCTGCAAGGTTATTTCTATTGCTATGAAATAGATAATAAAACTGAGTCTGGAAAAAGTTAAAGTGTAAATAAGATGTTTACCCAGATTTTCTCCTTTTCTCTTCTTAAAACTTTTATTGATCTTTCTAATTACAAAATATTACATGCTCATGTAGAAATTTTGGAAAGTGGAAGGAAAATATAATTAAGTAGAAAATAAAATTCAACTAAAGAAAAACAGCAATATATTTCTCTTCATTCCCCCATATATAGGTATAGAATGAGGATCATGATGTACATACTCTTGTTATCCTATTTAATTCACTCCACAGCAAAAATTGTGCCCCAGCTTCAAGCAATTCATCCTAAGCATTCTCTTTAATGGCTCTATCAGAGTCATACTCAGAAATAACACTTAGATAGCATTTACTATGTGTCAGGAGACACTCTAAGCTCTTTACTTATATTAACTAACTTACTACTCTCAAGCACCCAGTGAGGTAGGAAACTTATTATCTTCAGTTCATGGATGACAAAATGAAGAAACAGAGAGTTCAAGTGCCTCGACCATATCATAAGACTGAGAAGGGGCAGAGCCATAGGTGAAGCTCAGGTTCTAGGGCCAAAGCGTAGTCATCCCTTTACAGGAGTATCACTTGGCTCAGTTAATCGACCCCTTATTACTAGGAATTTAAGACACTCCTAGTTTTTCTCTTATAAATAGAAGTTTGTTTCTTGATATGCCCCCTCCACAATGGGCTGCCCATTCCTGCTATAGATTCTGCATCAGCCATTATAACAGGCAGCATGTTCATTGGATAAGCTATTCATGGACCTTCATAATCTGGACTCTTTGCTAGCTCTATAGTGCCAGAGGGAAAGGAAGTGCCCCCCACACCCCCCCAAAAAAACTCCACAAGGTTTCTTACGAGAGGCTCAGCAAGGCTAACACTCAACCACCAAACACAGCAAGGTCTCGTGGGAGGTGTGGGTCTAATTGGTTCTGCCTGCCGACTGTGTGGTACTGGTCTGCCAGATGGCTGCCACAGTTGCCTGGTACAGAGACCCTCATTACCACCTTAACAAGTGGTAAATGAAATCAGGCCTCAGTGGAAAAAAAACAATCAGAACTCCTTCCAGATCCTCATCCCTCACACATAGATGAAAATAAGCTTTCCTGCATGGTATGTAACAGACAGTCTAGACTGGCTGAATTTGCTCCAAAAGAGAAGTTGCTGATAAAGATAGAGCTAACTAACATGAGTGAGGATGGGCAAGTGTGAAACTCTTTTCTAAATTACAGATCCAGTTCGAAGGGTATCATTAATAGGCGCTAAGTACAACAGAAAATGTTAAGCAAATCCATCATTTTATGAATGTGAGAACAGTAAGCTATCTCAGAAATGAACAAGTATAGAACTTCATTTCACAAACGAAGAGTGAAAGGCCCAGAGAGCTTGGTGATTTGTTCAAGGTCTCACAAGTGGGGAGCTTGGCCTTCTAACCACCAGCCCTAGGATCTTTTTGTCTACAAATTCTGCTTCATATGTGTCTTTGAAAAAAATATTGTGTACATTGTTGTGTACATTGTTTCTCAGAATCATCAGCTCTGCCTTCTCTCAGAAAATAAAAAAAGAACATTTGACTAGCAACAAGCTCAGTAGCACAGTTTCAAAAATAAAATTAGAGTGTGCTTTTTGTATCTGGCAGCATGAAAATGAAAGTGTTAGTGCTTTAATTTTTAATACTTATCACAGTTGATTGGTGGTGTGTTTTTTTTTCAAACTCCTTTTGTGTGTTTTATCTTGCTTGTTCTACACAACAGCCCTGTGAGGTAGGTTGAGGCACAGGATGTTATTCTCATTTAACAGATGAATAGACAGATGTCAAGGACATTTCCAGTTGGCTGTGCATTGGCAGCTCAGTTTCAACATGATCAAAGCAAACCTTTGAGCCTGCTCTTCATCTTGTGATCTGAGTCTCACAGCTCTCACAAGTTGTACCAGTAAGAAACCTGGACATGCTTTCCTCCTGTCTCTCCCTAACTCTGATACCCAACCAATGTCTGAGGCCTTCAATTTCTACCTCCTTTATGCCCTCTTATTTAAGTTTCTTCTGCATCATCCTAGTCAGACCACTATTATATCTGAGCAGAAAGATTTTAATTATCCCCACATTGGCTTTCCTTTTCTATGTTTCCTTCTCTGTATGGGCTAGCTATTATAATACACAAATTACCCAAATACTCAGTGGTTTATAATAACACTATAAGTTATACTCACATCTGCAGATGTAAGTTAACACAACATTTACTTATTTCAGTTGCACTTTCCTAAGCTCGGCTGCAAACTGCAAATTTGATTCAGGTCTGCTCTGTGTTTTCCTTATTGGTGTGAATCAGTAGGCTCTTTAAGGCAAGGTCTTCTCAGGGTAATGGAAACATTTCAAGATGACCACAACTCAACCACAAGTTCATTTTAAGTCTTTGCTTGCATCATATTCACTAAACTCCCATTGACCAAAGCAACCTACATGGCAAAGCACAACACTAATGGGTCAGACACATATAGGCTACCTCTTTTAGGAGAAACTTTAAAACCACGGATCAAGTGTAACCCCTACTTAAAACATTTAAAACCACCATTTAATTCTCATTGCTGTAGTATAAATTCAAATTCTTTGACTTACCATTTTAATGCAACCTTGTCTACTCTCTACTTCCTTGTCATCCCTACCTTTCACTAAACTGAACTTCAGTTTCCCAAATAGAGTTCTGTTCTCTATTACCTCCTATCTTTTCCCCTATGCTATTCTTTTTATTTGAAATTCTCTTCCCTCCATGTTTACTTAACCCTAATTACCCTGGGGTCTCAACTTAGACATAGGCTCTAACAAGAAGCATCAGCGTCTGATCACCAAGACTGGGTGGGGTAAGTGCCTTTCCTAATGCACTTCTGAATCAACCTATGCATAATCATAGAGCAGACGTCATCATACTATTTGAATAGGTTGTTTCTTTGTCTATCTCCTTCAATGAGTCTGTAAATCCCCAAGAATAAGAAATTGTCTTGTTCATTGTTGTTTCCAAAATTCTCTCTCTATGTAGTAACCCAACACCAAACCTTATTTAGTGGAGAAATGCTAGAGGCTTTCACATTAGGGTTTGGAAGAAGTCAATGTATATTTTATTTCCATTGATTCTTAATATCATGTTGGAGGTATTAGGCAATGTAATTAAACAATAGAAAGCAATTACAAGTGTAATTAGAAAAGAAGAGGAAAAACTGTTTTCAAATGATAAGACTATACACATCAAATCTCAATGTAGCTAATAAACTACTAAAACAGTAAGATAATTTGACAAAACAGTTATAATGTTAATACACACAAATCAAGGACTTCATATATATAAAAAAACTAGTTAGAAGATAAAATATAAGATGCCATTTATAATAGCAAGTACTGTATTTTTCTGTGCATAATGCCCAACCATGCTTTTGTGCACATTATAGATGGGATTATTATACCTATGATACATAATCATTATACCCATGTATAATGTGCATTCTTATTTTTCCTTCAGAAATTTGGGCAAAAAAAATGCACATTATACACAGCAAAATATATCACTTCTCAGTGGTTTGGCTAAGATCAAGTGTAGTATACACAGCAAAATATGGTAAATGAATAACTAAATAAATCAAATGCTTAGACATAAACTTAATAGGAAATGTCTAAACCTTTATGAGAGTAAAATATAAAACACTCTTAAAGGACACAAGAGTAAATTTGAACAATGGAAACACATACTTGTTCTTGTGCAGAAAAAGTTAACATCATCAATCTCTATCGAAACCCCAATGATTTTTTTTGCAGAAATATAAAAACCTATCCTAAAATTCATATGGACTTTCAACAACAAAGCTGCAGAACTTACACTTTTTGATTTCAAAACTAAGTACAAAGGTACAATAACCAAAACAGCATGGTACTGGCATAAAGATAGACATACAGACCAATGGAAGAGAATGGAAAAAAATTAAACCCTCACATAAATGGCCAAATTATTTTTACAAAGGTACCAGTAAGATTCAAATAGGAGAAGATGGTCTTTTCAGCAAATGGTACTGGGAAATTTGAATGTCCATGTGCAAAAGTATATAGTTACATCCTTACCTAACACCATATACAAAAATTAACTCAAAATGGATCTATGACTTAAATGTAAGATTTAAAACTATAAAACTCTCTGAAGAAAAAAATAGGGTGAAATATTTATATTGGGTCTGGCAATGATTTCTGAGACATGACTCCAAAGGCACAGGAACCAAAATAGAAAATTGACAAACTGAATTTCATAAAAATTTTTAAATGTTATTTATCAAAGGACACTACCAACAGAGTAAAACTAGAGAGCCCAGAGTGGAAGGAAATCACATATTTGACAAGAGAATAATATCCAGAATATATGGAGAACCCCTAAAGTTCAACAAGAAAACAAACAACCAGATTTAAAAATGAGCAAAGGACTTAAATAGACACTTCCCCAAAGAAGGTAAAGAAATGGCCAAAAAGCACATGAAAAGATAGTCAACATAACTAACCATCAGGAAAATATAAATTAAAACAATAATGAGATACCACCTCATGTACATTAAAATAGAGTTACTATCAAAAAAGAAAACAAGAAAAATAGAAAATAACAAATGTTAGTGAGGATGTGAAGAAAATCTCTTATTAGGAATGCAAAATGGTTACAACCATTGTGGAAAACAGCATGGTGGTTTCTCAAAAATTAAAAATAGATACCACTATTCCACTTCTTGATATACAGACAAAAGAACTGAAAGAAGGGTTTCAAGGAGATATTTTTCTACACCCATGTTCACAGCAGCATTAGACAATAACTAAAATAGGGAAGCAACCCAAATGTCCATCAACAGTTGAATGGATAAACAAAATGTGTATGCATACAATGGAATAATATTCACTGTAGAAGGAACAGGACTTTTGTCAAATGTCCATTTGATGCTGTCTGCAAATTTTCATAACTTCTGTTGGGTTGGCCAAAAAGTTCATTTAGTTTTTTTCATACACTGGCTCTAGTAGCACTTAGCTGTCTTTAACTTCATTCAAAACAATTTCATTAGATTGTATTGTAACAGCTGTCATATCAGTGTGCATTCAAAAAATCAAAATTGGTGTATTTTGTGCAGCCATTTTAATGTTTAAGATGTAAGAAAACACACATTTTTGGCATATTATGCTTTATTGTTTCAAGAAAGGTAAAAACACAACTGAAACACAAAAAAGATTTGTTCAGTGTATGGAGAAGGTGCTGTGACTAATCAAATATGTGAAGAGTGGTTTGCAAACTTTCTTGTACTATTGACATTTTGGCCCAATAATTCTTTGCTGTGGGGCTGTCTTATGCTTTGGAAGATGTTTAGCAGCATCCTTGACCTCTACCCACTAGACACCAATAGTGGGAGATATCTGACATACTCAAAATATCCAAATCAATAAAGTTATTGGTGAAAATGAAAAATATGTATTTTATTTTTTGGAAAAAACTAAATGAACTTTTTGGTCAACCCACTACAATGTAACTATTTTAAAATGGTTTTATTTAAAAGCAATCTTAAAAATAAAAAACTTGTTTACACTTCCAACACTTGCAAATTCCAATACCCCAAGAAGAGTTACTAAATCTGTGTTAAATTTCTGTGCTCCATTTGTCCCAATTCTTTTAGGCCAGTAACATAAGACCAGCATTCCTCAGAAGTCATTTCAGGCTATGTATTATCCCCAAGTAGTATTTTGTGATTCAAAGTAAGGCAAATAAGAGAAACCTATAGCATCAAAGATTTTACAGATACTCTGGCAGCATGAAATATGGTGATTCTTGATGAGAATTTCCCATTTTATTTTCTTTGACACTTTGGGGACACTCTTTTCTTTTGAAAAATGAGAGCCAAGATGATTCATATCGGTGAAGGGACAAATATGAAATCCCACATGCACTTAGCCTGAATAAGAAAAACATCATCAACATTCTGACACTGTTTCTCCATTTGTTCAAATTTGGTGCTGTTCTTCAGTCTGGGAATCAGTGAGACACAGACAGTCCTGGCCCACACAGAGTCTACAACCTATTGGAGGGAGATACACAAAATAACAAATGAATATACAGTATAGTTTTAGAATTTATAAAATATTTAAAATACATTGTAACACATTCTTTATACCAGTCCAGGAATAAATATTCTCCCCTTTCATGGAGGGGACCATAAAATTTAGTCAGTGTTGTCTAGGCCAAAAGATTTTGGGGGCAGAATTATACCTGCTGTGTTCACTCAAACCTATAGTGATGAAAATAAAAATACTCAATACATTTTGGTGTTTAAATGAGAGGGGCTACACTTTGATCTCATTGGAATGATGCAGTATTGATAAATGCTTCTTTAGAATATTATAAAAGCGTATCAAAGTCTCAAAGGCAAAAAATATATATATGGCAAAAATGGAAATATTTTATGTTACAAGTACTTTTCAAAGAAACGCATTGTTCTGAACAACGTGTCTGAAATACCTAACCAAATATTTTACAGAATGAAAGTGCTCTGTGGACTGAATGTGGAATCTCTCTCACCCTAGGGTAGTGGTGAAATGCAGGGTTCCAACCTCATATGCACAATTTACAAGGAAGCAAACTCTGGACAACTTTGACTTAAGCTAGGCTCTGAAAGCATCCATCTCTCTCTGTTATGCACCTCTGTACACCTATGAGATTTTCAATATTTAGTGTCCTTCTCCTATACTCTTCCTTCTTCTGCCCTCCTCCTCCCTCACCACTCAGCCTATTCAAATCCATACATAACTCACCTTTCAAGCCTAGACTTAAATGTCATTGCTTCCAGACCTGGACAACCACATCCAGGTGAAGTGGCTCCCTGGACTGATCTACCTGTAACTTTCGCTGCAGGTTGTGGCGTCACATTTGCTTGCTGTGCCTCTCACTATCTGCAAGCTCTTTGAGAGTGAGGGCCGGGTCTGTTTCATTCACTGTACGTCTGTGACCTACACTGTGACCTTCACTGTGACCTTCTCTGTGTGACAGTGCCTGGCCCAGGCTAGGCACACCATAATTATTTCTTAAATGAAGAAAGAAAGTGACCTAATTTCTGCAACTCTCAGCTTTCAAAATATAAAAGGGTGCTATAGTATCTATTTTATAGGATACTATAAATTGAATGACATAAACAAAGCACCCATATGGTGTCTATACAGACTATGTGCCCCATAAATGTTTTGTTACTTTTATGCCTATTCTAGAACTCTCTGCCACTCCTGCTCACTCTGCCCACTCTAAAGAGATCTTTATTTTTCTTTGAAATGCTTCATGACTATAAAGCATCTATAGGTAGCTATCCATACTGATAGGTTATTCAACAGGACTTTTGATTGAGTATAGACACTCAATTTTCAGTGAATCCTTCTGATAATGGCTCCTTTCAATGACCTGATATTAAAAATTACCATGTACCTTGATTTGTACCTGGGATTTTATTTTAATCAGGTATGGCAAGGTGACAGATATAGAGACAACTACCTTTGACAGAAGAGTTTATTATTTATGTTTTCCAGGAAAGGGGGTCATACCACACCATGTAGGGCCACCTAGGGAAGCAACAAGGTCAGTCAGGAGGGTGAAGAAGATAAGGGGAAAATACAGGCCACAGTCTTTATTGGGGTTTCCATGAGAAAGGCAAGGGAGGGTAAACAGATTAGGAGTGGCTAATTTAAGTGAGCCCAGTGGACTTTGGGTATAGGTCCCTAGTTGTCTGGTGTCTGGACTTGGGTTGATTTCAGGCAGGGGAAATACTGGTTTTATGTGTGAGGGTTAGTTAGCTAAAGGAAGTGGTTAGGGATATGGACTCAGGCCTGGTTGGTTTGCATATGAAGGGTGTGTTAGCAGGCAGCTGTTCACTATCTCTAGAAATTAGTTAGGCCTGGGAGGGATGGTCTCTCCAGCCAGCCAGGCCCTCTAGGATGTCAAACCGTCATAAAATACAGAAAATAAAAACATGGTTAATACACCCTATTCCAGGGCAGGAGGGAATGGGATTTTTATCACTGACCCCTGTTCCATTATTTATTCTATTGTAACCTTCAAAAACATCACTCTTGGGATGTAATTATCTGGGCTGTTTAATCCCTGCTAGTCCATTCTTAACAAGACTCTCAATTGCCTTTGCTGCTCTTCCTAAATTTGCTAATTAAAAGAACCTGAGGATACCCTTCTTTCTAACAAGAACCCTACTTTGCTGATAAACACTTTATGTTTGACCTAATTTTTCTCTCTGTACAGATACCTTCTTTCTTATACAAATGAAACATATCTTATTGTTAATATATTTATCAAATACTTGTTAATTACATAATGCTGAAGATGACATTGAGGCAAACTTTCTTCTTTGGGACTCAATGGCCGAACGACTACATGGGCTAAAGTCATCTGGAACTGGGAATATATTTTAAGGAATTGGTTGGCTCACTCATACTGTCTCTTCTTTTCTCTTTCTCTTCCCCTCTTCCCTTCTGAGACTTATTACCATTTGTCTTTGTTTCTTTAAAACTCCCAATCAGGCAAATGTCCATTGCAGCTCTGTACCAACTGGAGACTAGTCTCTGTCCTATATCCATGGCCTCCCCAGGAGGAAACTTAGAGACTGGTCCTTGGAACAGATGGCAAAGGGAGGCTCTGACCAACCTGAGGTGTGTATACTGAGAGTGTGAGTTGTTTTCCATTGTGGATGAAGGGGTATTATTTGTTGACAATATATTTTGAGGTGGAGCAGATAATAAGACAATCTGAGGATAGACTGGTGGACACCACACTCCATACGTCTAATTGGCTTTCCAGAAAGCTTTCCTGGGTTGTTCACAGGAAAACCTCAAATGTCTCAATTGAACTTCTCATCTTCCTCCCACTTTCCTCCTCCCAAATCTAATAGGTCTCTAAAATATGTTATTCTGAATTCTCATATAATCAAAAGTTACTTTGTAAAAGACAGATATATACCATGAGGAGCCTTCTAACAGACTGTGTACTGAAATGATTTGCTTCTTCTCTTCTGAAGGAGAAGGTCCTGAGGCGTTGTGAGCTAACAAGTACACCCAGACTGAACACTTACCCTCAGGTATTGCTAACGCATCCCATTCCAGGCTAGACCTGAGAGTGGATGCTCTGATACCAATCCTGCTAGGCTTCTGCTTCCTTACATTGGCCTTCAGCTATCTTATTTCAGAGCTGTGTTAATTTTGTTGTTGTTGTTGTTGTTGTTGTGTTACGATATTGGCCACAGGCAAAGTGGAACAACAAACAAAGACACTTTTCTTCTCTCCCTGACCAAACTAGAACTCAAGTCATACTCTTTGAGTGTGTACTTACTAGACAAGCTTTGAAAAGAGCTGAAAGTCCTGGATCCTATCTCCTCAGGATTGCTCCTTCTATCTCAGTTGAGTCGCCTCTTCCTGAGGCATGAAGTCCCTCTACAGTTACCAACAGTCAGGATTGTCTGCCAGAGGTTTTCTAGGGGGGACTCCGCTGAAATGGTATAGCCATCCCACAATTTTATTTTACTTACATGTACCAGAGTAACAGAATTAAAAGGCTAGTTTCTTTCTTGAAAAATAACCTTTATTATTGTTCCCTAAGATACAAAGCGTATTTATATTTATATGCGGAAATCTCTAGTTAATATAGACTAGAATAGAAAATAGATTTAGGTCTTTTAGTCCTATTTAATTTCTCTTTAAAAGGGCTTTCCTGCCCCAACTTTCATTGTCTACTCCTAAAACTACTGGGATAGCTACAGATTCAAGATAATTGGTGCACTTAAGTCCATTTACAAGCTGAGAAGTCTGTAATCTCCAAGGTAAGAATGGAGAACTTAACTAAAATGTATGACACTTCCTGGAGAGTTCGAGTGTGAGGTATCTTTGAAATATAACTCACCACTATCAATTTACTGGTGAGGGCACTGAGACCCAGAGGAGTGAAGGGACCTGCTCAGGGCACCCAGAGAATTAATGATAGGCCCAGGGCTGAGATAAAGCTTCCCCAATACAAAGGCAGGGTTCTTTCTCTGCTTGCACTTCCCAAGCTCACACTTGTGAGTGAATACAAAATATGGTCCAAGTATAACCAACTTCAGGAAGCTAGAGGAAAATGCCCTAAAACAGGAAGAAGTAATAGCAATAGAAAATCATTAGTGAGCCTGTGTTGATAGAAAACCAGGCCAAAACCAACCTCGTGAGGATAGTCTAAGGATTTAGTAATATAATATATGCAAATTACCTGGTTTCTTTCTTAGCGGTTAGTAGGCACACAAATAAATGTAAGTTCTCTCCCCTGCCCATCTTTAACCTGTAAAAATAAAATTAATTGTATATTTATGAGAAGTGCTTAGCAATACAGTGACAACTTACTAGTACAACCTCTATGACTCTTTAGTTCAATCAAATTTTCTGATCTGAAATATAGTTTATATCAGGGACTCTATCCAGCTTCTTTCCCCCACTGCTACCCTCTCCCCTGCCCTGAAGCTGACTACCCACCATGGTCCCTAGGATGTCATCCAGCTCAGCAATGGAAATGGACATTTCTTCAGTACTGTCCTATGTAAAAAAAAAAAAATTAAAAAGCTTTGAGATTTTTTCATTCAGCTTAGTAACTAAGGCCTTGTCCTCAATAATCTGAATATATCTGTTGACTATGTCTAAATATAAGCATATATTAGATATAATAAATACATAAAAAATGTGAGAGATAAAAAGAGAGGCTGGAAACTAGGTTATGATGTAGTAACAAATAGCCCCAAAATCTCAGTTGCTTAAACAACAAAGCTTATTTTTCATTGACATTACATTTCCATAGTGAGTTAGCCGCAGGCTCTTCTCAGCATTGTCGTCATCTTCACTCCAAAACCCAGGATGCTGAAGCAGACACTCTGGAACATTTTTGGACATATGGGAGAAGGGAACAAAGAGAGCTCTGGAAGGTCTCATGTCAGCAGTTTAATCATCAACCCAGAAGTGGCGCATGTTCCATCTGCTTATATCTCATGTGGCCAGAACTGGGCACGTGGTCCTACCCAAACACAAGACAACCAGGAAGGAAGTACCATTTTACCATTTGTCCAGCAGGGACAATAGTAGAAATACTTAGTGAGAAGCAATAACAATTATTATATTTGTAAAGCTGCTTTAAATACTTTTAATGGTAAAAGATTTCAAACACACTTTATTTCGGCAGGCCTTTTTTCCTTCCATGTAAATTAGATGAGGATGTTCTGTTTTATATTTAATTTTCAGGTGAACTATGAAGAGCTACTCTGTTTTTTAAAAGTTGCAGCTTCAGATGACTCACCACAAAGCAAGAGAGTTGTGGACAGCACCCTGAGGAAAGCTGAGGGTGAAAACTGTCACAGTGAAAAATACTTCCTCCCCTTTTGTAGGCATATTATTCCTAGGCTTCCAGCACTGGCAGAGCCCTTGAAGGCTATTTGCTCTAAAAGCTGACCTCATGCAGAAACATACTGTTCATCAATACACTTGGTTTATGCTTATAGTTTTCTTTCTCTGTGTTGTACATAGGTCAGCATAGCAAATTATTTGCAACAATTGAATATGCTTATTAACATCAAGCATGTGTCTTTTTTATATGAGGATGCCATGTAAAAATGACAAACCTCATTATGAAATAAGAAATGATTGTATACTAGTGCAGAACTCATCTGGAGTGTGATTCCAGAAATATGTTCAGTCAGTGAATTCCTGGGCTGCTGGTACCAGCACAGAAAAGTTTGAGGTATAGAAATCAATAATCCCTTCACATAAACTCAAAGGAAAGAAATTATTAAAAACAAAAATAGGATGTGAGAAATATCACCACAGATGAGACACAGTGAAGCATAATAGTTTCTGCATTGCCCAAGAAAAAAGACAAAATGCAGTGGTTAGGAGCATAACCCCTTTGCCAGAAGCCTGGGCTCAATCCCTGTCTCTGCCACTAAGTGGCTCTGTAACCTGGGGCTAGTCACTTACCCTCTCTGTGCTTCCATCCCCTAACTGTAAAATGGGAATGATAATAGACTTCACCTAACTCCAGAGATTTGCACCAGTGACTGAGTTAATCAATGCAAAGGTCTTAAGAAGTCCCTGGTACATAGTAAGTGCTATGTAAGTGTCTGTTACTATTTTTCAACTGTCCTTCCAGAAGATACTCTTTTTGGTTACAAAGAATATGACATCTTGACTAAGAGCCATGTGACAGGAAGTTACCTCTTTACTTGAAGAAAGAGGTAGGGTGTTCTATACAAATGTCCCTGGGCCAAATGGCTCCTATAGCATGCCCTTTTTGACTCTGATACTTAATTCAACAGATGCTTAGTGAATACCAGTGGCTTGCCAGGCACACTTGCTGGGCATAATGGATTCAGAGGTAGGCAAGTTCCAGCTACTCCTTCAAGGGCTTAAAATTTAAAGAAAGTGATGCTGCCATGCAAGACAAATATCACTCTGGGAGTAACTGTCCTACTGAGAGCCATAAAGCCCTGTAAATTTGTAATAATCAGCAACCACACTTCCTATAATACAGATTGTGAAATTTGGACCCTGAGAAGTAAGAGGCTATGTACTAGAAAACATGGCCACTCATTGGCAGATAGGGGTCTTCGGAGTCCTGGACAGGAAGCCTCTCCAGAGCCCTAGACTGGATCACGTCTCCTTGTTGTATGGTTCCACAGATTTTACCTATCATAACAGACGTTTTACTTGTAATTACTTATTTGACATTTGAGGTTAGGAATTGTGTCTGTCCTGCCCAACTCAGTGTCTAGCACAGTTCTAGCATAGTTCCTAGCACAGGGGACATGCTCAATAAATATTTGTTGAATGTAATTGGCACCTCCAATTATCCAAAGAGCTTGCATCACTTCACATGCAGGGACATCTGGATCTCTACCCTATAAAAAAGGTGCATAAAGAGATCAGTTTGAACTCATCAGAGAAGGTGCTGCTTTACAGAAACCAGACAATGTGTATGTAGAAGTGCAGGACTAATGGCCTGTAATGAATCCAGGCTCTTTGTTAATTAATGTGCCGCTCAGGAAAATGTCCTCTCTCATGTCCTGTCAGGTAGAGCTTTTAATGAGGCAGCTCTGTGATGTTTAAAAAGCCTCCAGCATCACTAGTGGAGCAGGAGTGGCACCAACCCTCATCACTTAAGTTGGACAAGATGAAATCAACTCCTCCAGCAGGTTTTCTAAGAACCCCCACCAGCTGCGGCAAATGGGTTCCATACGACACCTGCCCATTCAGTAATTGGTGTATGGAGTTGGGGGTCAGGGCCTCATGAATTCCCACCCCCAGAAACTGGCACTGCAAGGAAAGAAAAGAAGAAAAACTTCTGATTCAAATCTGGGACAGACAGATACGTCTGACTGACAAGGCCTGAGGCACGTGTCCCAAGCAGCAAAGAGAGGCTGATAAAGAAAACAGCTGGACCTTCCTCCGCAAGAGTGAGAGGCAGACTCCTGAGCTGGGGAACTCCCTGAACAAGGAGGGAGAGACGGTGCAGAGCTGGGTGACCAAAACAAAGACACACTGTATTTTTCAGACTGTAAGACACATGTCCCCCCCCAAATTTGGGAGGAATAATGGCTGTTAATGCTGCTGTTGAGTTCTGTTTACATTTACATTGGTGAAATATTATGTTATTTATGTTATTAAATATTTTATCACTTTTTTTTGCTTCAAAATTTTTTTTTCTATTTTCTTCCTCTAAAACCTAGGTGCATCTTATGGTCTGACAAAAAAACCATGGTATAACCATTTCTCCTTTCTGGTACCAAACTTTTGGAAAATATTAGCTATTATTAAGTAATTCTGATAGTTTGGTGCCAAAGTTCAAGGAAGAGTTACAGAGCAAAAAGAAAATGCAATATGACCTTTAAGAAAGTTAAATATATCTAAAAATGATCAAATTGCAGGTACTGTATAGCATTTCCCAGAAATAGTAAGGCACAAAACAAACTCAACCCACACCTATGGAACAATCTACTAATGAAGTCAGGCATGAAACAATGACTAGGAAAATAACAATGATATTGCAACATGAGGGAGACTTCGTAAGGAAAAGAACAAGAAATTATAAAAGAGTTTATCAAGCAGGAGGTGCTGGAGCATCCTGTGGGCCTACTGTGTGCATCAGTTCCCAACTCCTCATTCAGGTGCAACATATTGGTAGCTTTAAATCAGCCAGGAGTATTCACACCGTGAAAATCAGTAATGCTCCAAATCAGGTCTTTTGTCTTGAGGAACTGGTTGGTAAACATTTACCAGCACACCACTGGAAGGAAACTAACTTGCATGAGTAGGGGTTGGGGGACGTCAGAGGATGTATCCCTAGGAAAGTGGCACTTAAGCTGAGACTATGGAAATTAGGAAAAGCTTCACTGCAGAGAAAATAGTTCGGCCAGATCTGGAAGGATACAAACCTTTGAGCACTAAATAAGTAAACATCTCAGGCTAGTTTCATAAAATAAATGACACTTCATCACTCTGCTACTTTCACCTGTTCTGTAAAATAATAAAAGTCAGTTAGATAAACCATTTGATTAATTACATACATTTGAATGCCACCTGATAAATAAATAATTACTCCCATACTTTTCTGGGTTTTCTAGATACAAATAGCAGAGTCAAGGATAATGCAAAAAGTTCACCTGGTTCTAGATTTCTTCCTATATAGGCTCCCTAGGATCTGCTTTGCTTTGCTTTGCTTGTAACAATGCACAGTTTGGAAATTTGATTATCTGGGCTTGAAAAAAAATAAGATCAAGCAGGTAAAGTAAACTACTATAAATACTTCTAATTTTTTTTCTCTCAACCTGGCAAAAAGAGGGAGTAGATTACAAATTTGGGGCTATATTCTAGTCAAATTGGTTGGTTCCTCTAGTGTCGTGCTCATGAGAATGGAAGAGACTTGAGTTAATCTATGAAATCACCACATGCAGTTCCATGACCAGGATGCCAAGATTAAAAAGGCCATACTGGGCGCATCGTGTGGTCCCCGGTGTAAAACAGAGGTGAGGGTTATAATATGAAAACATACAGCAGCTTTGAGTGGATCATCTTTTCACAGACTTTCCCCTGCCCCTCCAAGCAGTACTGCCCCTCAAGACTCCAGCTCACAGTCAGAATTGAGCAGGAGCCTGTTAGAGATCTTAAAGATTGCACTAAGGACAACCAATGGCAACCTCAACCTAGAGAGCCTTAATCTGAGTCTTTGAAAAGATCACTCAATCACTCATTCTCCAGCTACCTGCCCCCACCCAAGGTAACCAAAATTAGACTTCAGATCTGTTCCTCTCTAAAAGTCTACCTCACAGCATTGGGTCTACAGGAAGGAGCCAGAGTTATGCTCCGGGTTCTTCCTGTGGATTAATTAGACAGTTTTTTGTTTGTTTTCTGTGCCAGGGAGGAGAAAAACAAACTAAAAACAGAACTGATAAATGTGCAGAATTGCTGCAGGAATTACTTACATGGAGCTATGTTTCATGTTAACAATATAGAATATGAAAATACTCAAATAATATTACAGAGTGAAAAATAAATATTTTTGCCAAGGCCAAATGTTCCTCACATCTTCTCCCAGCTTCCATGAGGTCAGTATGTGGCATTCCATTCCTTAGGTACATCAGACTGTAGGGACTGATGTCATATATTGCTGATAGAGAGGAGCATCCTCTTTTTGGGACATTAATTAACAGGGCTGATGTGTTTCATGGAAGGAGATCCAGAACCACAAACCCATCATGAGGCTACCCAGGATATAGGCAAAATAATAATTACCACTAATACTATAATTCTATTAACAACTCATCACCACCAAGCTTTCCTGAGGTCTCACTAAGTACTGTGCTAAATGCTTTACTTATATCATCTCATCTAACATTTACAAAATAACTACAAAATCTAAGTACTTGTTATAATACCCACTTAATAAATTTTAAAAACTAAGTCTCAGAGAGGCCAGTTGAGTCACCCAAGGGCTTCAGCTAGCAAATGGCAGAGGCAGGATTCAAAGTGCAGAAACAAACTGGAAATTAAGAGCCAGAAATGGAACACTATTAGGCAGAAAATATCTGGAAGATTCCACTGAGCTCAGGACACAAAAGGTAGAATTCCAGAGGAGTAGAAGGAAATGAAAATTACAGGGAAGGAAGAGGAGTAAGTCTCACTGGAAAGATTGAAAAACACTTTTCATCTAGGTAAATAGGGGTTAGAATTCAGAATCAGAGAATTTAAAAGAACAAGTGATGACCCCAGCTGGTGTGGCTCAGTGGAATGAGCACTGGCCTGTGAACTAAAGGGTTGCCAGTTCAATTCCCAGTCAGGGCACATGCCTGGGTTGCAGGCCAGGTCCCCAGTAGGGGACACTTGAGAGGCAACCACACACTGATGTTGCTCTCCCTCTCTTTGTCCCTCCCTTCCCCTCTCTAAAAATAAATAAATAAAATCCTTTTAAAAAAAGAACAAATGATGGTTAGTTACTAAGGAAGCAAGGACACAATATGCTAAAAGTGGGTTCTTATTCTAGCACAGAAGTAACTTTCTCTGTGCTTTCATTTATAGAGTTAGCTAAGCATGCAAAAGCAAAGCTCATGATAGTGTGTGTGTACGTGTGTTTATTACACCTGCAGGCATGTTTTACTGGAAAAAGAGATGGAACTCTACAGGAGATTCCACATGTCCTAAATAGGCATTTTTATATTCAGGATGCAATCAGTAGGAATAGATTAAGAAGCATCAATTGTTTGTTATTGGAAACTACATAGCACCATCAGTGAAGCCCGAATGTTTGCAGATGATACTGACAGAATGGAACATAAATGACTTGAAAATCAAAGTCAATTTCCTTAAATCCTTTGAGTCTCAGATTTTTCATCTGGAAAAGCTGGGTTCCAAATATCTGCCTCCTCTGTTGTTAAACAACTTAAGTGTGTGAAAGCACTTAGCACACTGTGTGATATCGGAGCACTGGCTATCAGAGCAGGCCTTGACCTTCTCCCCCCACGGCTGGCCCCAAAAGCTTAAATTTGTGGTTCATTTCCAAGGAAATGGGACACATTTTCCTGAAGGCTGGTCTGCCTCTTGTGAGCCATCTGGCATCTCTTAAGACATCTGGAACTCACTCAAAGTATATTACAGTTCTGGGAGGCATGTAAAATACAATTCTGTTCCTCCAGAATGTGAGACAAATTGAGGCCCAAGGGACAGTGGATACAAGCAGCAGCAGTTCCAGCCCAGCATCCTTGCTCTTGGACACAGGACTTCAGAGTAGCCTGAGCAGGGCCATCTGAGTTAGAAGGGGTTTTCTTTTTGACTAGTACTAAATCTCTTTGGGGTACAGTACAAAGAACCATGGACCTCCTTCAGTTTCTTGTAAAATCTATGCACACTGTGTTGGACAGAAGTGGGGGACTGATGCACATCTTCAAAGCCAATATTTCAGAGGGTTCACAAATAATCTTTAGCTTCTAAGATAAATAAATGCAGTCTTGAAGGATAATATATTGGTCTTGTCATTCAAATCAATAGAAAAGAACAGAATGAAAACACATCAATTATCTGTCATCCTCATTCTATGAACTCACTCATCCTGTTCCTCTAGCATGTCTTTGATGCAAAGGTGGCTTCTGGAAGGATTGCTGAGGCACCGTGGATCCCTCAGCACCTATGTTTATTAACCTTACCAATCATTACCCAAGTAGATTTAATAGGTCTGTAGAACCTAAGAAGCTTCCAAGCACACAGGCTCACTTTAACTCTTTTTGTACATAATATGTATTCTTCATCTCTTGGACTCATTCTCTTTTCACTCTATATCCCAAACTATTCCCAGACCTTCCTCCCAGAAGGAGCTAGCTAGAACATAGGCGGCTGAACTTCTAATTACTCTACTTCATTTTCATGCAACTTCCTCCTTATCATCAACAGGGAGTCTCATTACTGCGGAAACCTGGGGTTTGTGAATGTGAGGTTTGTTCCAAGACTCCAGCTATGACACTAGTGTACCTGGTGACCAGGACTGTAAAAGTCTTCTACAGTTTGTCAGCTCCTCTTTTGTATTTGGTTGTTTCTATATCAGTATACTTTGCCCTAAAACTATAAAATTATTTCTGCTTCCTTTTTTCCAGCTCAACAGCCATCTTTCTGATCAATATGGCATGTTTATCCTATGCCTGCATTCAACATGTTGTTCACTCAGTGTGTTTTGGGAACTATGATAAGGCTGAGGAAAACAGACTATTATAATCTCAGGAGCTCAGGGAAAACATGACCTTTTAACATGTTATCACATTTCTGTATAACAAATGAAGTGACAGCAGTAATTTTGAACACAGACAAGAAACACCAACCTAGCCTAGCCCAACAATTCTTCAGAGGAGAAGATTCAAATACTGAATCTTATAGGGTAGGTGAATTTGTCAGAGAACTGGGGGGAAGGAGCAGAGTAAAAAATATCAGAACAGTGTTCTAGGTAAAAGCGGCAATGAGAAATGGCCCTGAAATGAGAGAGAGCATGGTTAAGTCCAGGAACTGGAAGTCATTCGTAGGGGCAGAACGCAGTGAGTGTACGGTGGCTGGGGATGGTGGGAGATGCTGCTCAAGCTGATGCTAGAATGGCAAGTAGGAGCTAATTTATGAAGTTCCTATGAAGTGTGAATTTTATCCTGAAGGCACAGAGGAATCATCAAAGGATATTAAATAAGTAAATGATGTGATCAAATTTGGAATTTAAAAAGAGCACTCTAATAGAATATGGAGAATTAGAGGCCGAGAGAACCTTTAGAAGGCTGGTCCAGTAACTCAAGCAAGAAATTAGGAGGGCTTCAGCCAGGGCAGTGACAGGAGGGAGGGGATATTAAGGAAGTACAAAAGCAGGTCATGATGACTAATTGGATGTGGGCCCCCAATTAGGAAGAATCAAAAATGATTCCCGAGGTTCTGGCTTTGGCAACTTGGTGGATGGGGGTGCCGTTCTGTGAGATAGGAAACAGAAAAGTTTGAAGGAATATAGAAGGGATGATGAGTTCAGTTTTGAACATGTTGATCTTCATTGAGAGATTAAAACTATATATAATGATTTAAGAATCTTCAATACAGAGTTGAAGCCATGGGAGTAGTTAGGATTACTAAGGGCATAATGAAAAGTGAGAAGGGAAGGCTGAGGAAGGCACTCCTTGTTAAGGAATAGGTGGACAAAAAGAAGCCAACAAAGGAGACTAAAAACAATCAAAAGAGACATGGGAATGGTCAAGAAAGCCAAGAAATCAGCCTTGTCTCATGCGGTGAAGAGACCATGTATAATTAGAACTGAAAAGTATCAAGTATCCATTAAATTTAAACCATGGAGGTTACTAGTGACTTGGTAAACAGAGTTTAAATGCAATGATGGGGTAAAATGCAAAAGAAGCCACAAATGGGAAAAAAGGAAGTTGAGAGAGCATCTGTGCACCACCCTTTCCAGAAGCATTTTGGGGAAAAGAATATGTACTCATATGCCATTTTCTAAATAAGATAAATAATTTATTTACATTTGATTTTTTAAAATCCCTTGTTAAACAGAAGAAACTTCACACAATCACTTTCTCTTTTTTTCCTTTTTTCTTATTTTAATCATTGTTCAAGTACAGTTTTCTGCCTTTTACCCCCAGTCCAGCCCACTTACCCATCCCCCCCACCCCCTCCCATTACCACATCGCCCCTAGTTTTTGTCCATGTGTCCTTTAAATTTGTTCCTGTAAATCCTTCCCATTCTCCCCTGAAATTCCCTCTTCTCTCCCCTCTGGTCACTGTCAGCCTGTCCTCTATTTCAGTGGCTTTGACTGTATTTTGCTTGTTTCTTTTTTCTGTTGTTTAGGTTCCTGTTAAAGATGAGATCATATGGTATTTGTCTTTCACCACCTGGTTTATTTCACTTACCGTAATGCTTTCCAGCTCCATCCATGCTGTTGCAAAGGGTAGGAGCTCCTTCTTTCTTTCTGCTGCATAGAATTCCATTGTGTAAATGTACCATAGTTTTTTGATCCATTCATTTACTGATGGGCATCTTGGTTGCTTCCAGCACTTAGCTATTGTAAATTGTGCTGCTATGAACATTGGGGTGCAAAGGTTCTTTTGTATTGGTGTTTCAGGATTCTTAGGATATAGTCCCAGCAGTGGGATTGCTGGGTCCACAATCACTTTCTTATTGAACAAGTCATCATTATAATATTCATCCTTGAAAGGATTTTAATAACCCAAGATAACACTAAACTGCCAGGATTTTCTGGTAGAGATTTCTATTACTCCTCCACAACTGTCAGCAGTTCTTCCTTAGCAGCTATCAATCAATCTGCTTCTAGGAACCCTGATGTACTATTCTAATCTGCTGCTCGTTTTAACCTTGAGCAAAACTCAATATTGCCAGAGGTAAATAAACTGTTTTTAGAATAACCTTTTAATATTGATATTTTAAAATGCATTAATGTGCTATAATCATGGTGATAAATCAATTCTTATTTATGAAGTAAAATGATATAATGTGACTAATTTCTACCACTTGAAATTTATTTTTTGCTAACCCCTGTCCATACACATTCCACTCTTCAGTGTCTTCAACTCACTCATTCTTTTCTGCATTCATCCATGTATTCATTTATTCAATAATTATTGATCTTTTATTTTTAACAGTGCGCTAGGCAGTAATTATAGGAAAACAGAACACCATTCCAGTCCTCAGTAAGCCACTGTCTTGTAGAGATGCTCTAATACACAGATAATTACTGCCCAGTATGGGAAGGGATATAAAACTATAGTAGAGTGAATAATGTCAAAATACATGCAACTTCTACAAAGCATCATGCTCTTTCTCACCAGTTATTTACAAGGCTTTTCTTGTGCCTAGAACTCTCCCCAGCCCCTTCATCTTCTGGCAAACTCTTAGCCATTCTGTATGTTTCATGTTCATATTTTTTTCTCTGTTAAGCTTCCCTGACACAATTCCTCTACACCTAGTAATATTTACAAGTTTCAAACCCAGATTTGTTGTTTGTTCCCTTCCATACAGATAAATGAAAAGTGTCTCTTTGTCACTCTTTTAAAGTCTGGATTTTATTATTATTCATGTGTTGTCTGATCAACAGGTCAGGGATGATTCCCATTGAAAGAATAGTCATTACTCATTGTGCCCAAGAGGAGGGGGCACAGCATACCACACAGGCCATGTGGGGAAGCACCAGGGTCTATTAGGAGGCAGAAAGGATACAGGGGTAATGTGGGCAAGAGCCTTCATCATGGAATGGGCAAGGCATGTAATCAAGTTTAGAACTGACTAGACTGAGTAATTTGGACCCTGGGTCTGTCCTAATTTATCTGGTATTTGGCCCTGGGATGACAAGAGCAGAGAAACAGTGGCAAGTATGAGAGTTCCAGTAAAGGATGTGGTTGGTTTGCATATAAAAGGCACACTTTCCAGCCAATCCTTTACTATATCTAGGAATTGGCTAGCTCTGGGAGGAGCAATCTCTCCAGAGTAAGCAAAGCCCCAGGGTATCAAATAAAAATATCAGGGTCAGATCAGAATAAAAAGATGTGCTTGATGGAGCTGTTATACTGAAAATGCTCCCAAAATAATAGTAGCTACTATTCAGCCCAAACACTAAATTAGACATTTTTTCCTTCCTTCCTTCCTTCCTTCCTTTCCTTCCTTCCTTCCTTCCATTCTGTCTCCCTTCCTCTCTCCCTCTTTCTTGTTTTCTCTTCCTACTTCTTCCTTTTCTCCTCTCTCTTTCTCCTCTCTTTTTCTCCCTTCCTTCTTTTCTTCATCCAACAGATATTAACCCAATGTCTACTAAAACCTGGGCACTATTCTAACTGTTTATTTTCTCATGTAATCTCCACAGAATCCTGGGAAGTAGAAAACCCTAGTCATATTTAGTAGATAAAGTAACCAGGCATAGAAAGGTTAAGTAACTTCCTGAGATCACACAGATCACAGGCACCAGCTCTAGTGTTTAGAATAAGTCCTGTTTTTTCCCAAAGTCTACATGCTTAAACATTATGCTAAACATATGGCATATTCTATCACACCCCAAAAGTCTGACATGTTTGAATCTAAGTATCAGGCACACACCAACTTGAGAACTGAACTGGTTTGTCAGCTAGATTCAGCAAATAGGGACTGCTGGCCTAGTGGTAACCATCAGCCCTCCTGAAGCCTGGAGGTCTGGGTTCAAATTCTGGATATGTCTGATTTTAGGTGAACTATATAACCTCTTGGTGGCTTAGTTTCCTCATCTGTAAAACAGGGTAACTATAAAACTAATCACACACACATAAAACAAATATTAAGTACATGGGAAACTGCAGTGACCATTAATTCATCCAACAAATAATTTATTGAGCATCTGGTTTCTAGACTAAGTTCCAAGATTTATTAACTAGGTGACATTGAGGAAGTTAGTTAAATCTCTCTAAATCTTGGTTTCCTCAAATATAAAATGCAGATAGTAATATTAACCATGCTAATACAGCAAGCTTGTTTTATACATCAAAGTAGATGTACAAAAACATTTTGCAATTTACCTATGTAACAAGTGTATGTAATTTCTAGGCTTTTTTTTCTTTTGAATATTTTTTATTGTTATTCAAGTACAGTTGTCTCCATTTTCCCCCACCATTCCCCCCCACCCCAGCCATCCCTACTTCCCACCCTTCATCCTACCCCACTTTGGTTTGTCCATGTGTCCTTTATACATGTTCCTGAAAGCCCTCCCCACATTTCCCCCATTATCCCCTCCTTCTAGGCCTTGACTACCAATTCTGTGGTTGATAAAAATTTAAGATGAGAATCTTAACATTTAGTGACTTAAGGGCAATGAACTCTACTTCTATATCAACCATCTAAAAACTTGCTGTTGTTGAGCATTCAGTTGGACATTCTTATCTGGAATGATATTCTAATGGCATTAAATACAATGCACTCTGGGGTATTAATTCCTTGTCAAAATCATGTAGATTCATATTATGGGATGGAAATTCTAATTTTAATTTCATGGCAGTGACACGTCAAAGTCTTTCTCATTTTCAGGTCAGGCTTATATGTGGGAAACATGGATTATATGTGACTTTGAGCCTCCTGAAAACATTGCTTAACCAAGATTTGGCTTACCAAAATGAAATAAAGTAAGTCGATCTTTACTCACTGAGTCCTCTGAAGGGATGCCAAACACAGAGATCTGTCTTTAATCTAGAAGTTTTATGTGTGAAACAATGAATTTCATCACCTAAAGACGGAGTTAAGAAATGTTTGCTTATATTAAAACCAGTCTTCTTAGCCATAGAAAAACCAAAGCAGTGAACTTCCACTTCCAACCATTATAGACTATCAGTAATCAGATTTACCATTCTACCTTAAACAACTAAAAATTAGGACAAAGTATATGAAACAATGGTTTTCAGATATTGCACAAGAGGCAGCACAGAGCAGTGATTCTTGAGAGGAAAAAAAACCAAATGAGGTAAGTTCAGCTTACTGAGCAAGAAGGGAGGATCCAAACTTAGTGCAGCATTCTCCTTGAGCTACAGAGATAGAGTTTGGAGTTCAGGAAGGCCAAGGAGGCTAGAATGCGCAGTACAGACTAGCAGAGAGGAGAGATCCCTAAAGAGTTCTTTCAGGAGTTTTCCAAAGAGTTGCCCTAGAGACTTCATGTAAGTACTGGCCAATGTATGCATTTGAGGAACCTACCCAAGTACAAAGAGAGAAAAATCAAAAGAAAGAAGTAGAAAAATGCTTGGATCTCACACAGTGTTAGGAATAGTTCCTATTTTCAAAAATCAGGCAGGAACACATGTGGCATTGAACAGAGTCCTCAGAAGGATATTATGCTGGAGTGAAACCAAATCACCCTAGAAATTTAACAAATTTTACAAGCCCTAGTAAAGTTTAAAATGATCAAACTGTTTCCAACTTAACCGCACCCAAGAACAAAGCTCTCAAACTTCCAAAGGATTTAAAAAATATAAAAAAAAACATAAAATTTAAAATATCTGGAATTCATAAAAAAATAACAGGCATGAAAAGATGGAAAGGTATAATCTATTATTGGGAGAAAAAACAATTAGTAGAAGCAAATTCATAAACAGCAATGCTAGAAATAGTGTAAAAAAAGCAATTATAAACACACTTTATATGCTCATAAAAGCATGAACACAATAAGAGATATGGAATATATAAAAAGAGAGCCAAAACCAATAACCCCAGTCTAATAATATACTTTTAAGTAACTTATGGTCAAAGAATAAATCACAAGGGAAATTATAACATGTGTTGAGCTGAATTAAAATGAAAAAACAACATACCAGTAATCCTTGGCTTTCTCTTTTCTCACATTTCATATCCAATTCATCAGTAATCCGTTAGTAAATCAACTCTTTGTTCAGAATATGTCCAGAATCTGGTCACTGCTCACCACTTCTCTTGTTACTTAATTACATCCCATTCAAGCTACCATCACCTTTCTCCTGGATTACTATTAATAGCTTTTAGCTGAACACTCTTCTCCCTGTCCCCAGTTTATCCTCAATACAGCAGCTATAGTGACCTATTAAAATCTAAAATAGCTCATGCCATGGTCCTGCTCATAACATTGAAAGAGCATCTTATTTTATGAAGAGGTAAAAAAATCAAAGCCCTTATAAATGTGTTCTACAAGCTCTTCTCCGTCATCACTTCTCTGGACCCATCTACAACTTTCTTTGTTCATTATCTTTCAGTCACGCTGTCCTCTTTGTCTTCTTCTAACATACCATGCACACATCCACCTTAGCACCCATCCTCCAAATATTTCCTCTACCTCAAATGTTCTTTCCCCAGATATCTTCATGCTAATTCCTTCACTTTTTAAGTTTTTGCTCAAATGTCATCTTATTGATAAAGCCTAGACTAACCACCCTTTAAAGTTGTAGTTCCCAACCATTCTTACCCTTAACCTGCTTTCCTCTTGTACTCTTCTATATATTTATCAACTTCTAATATATTTGATGATTTCCTGTTATGTGATGTTTATTTTTTTTGTTGTTGATTTCTGATAGACTGTAGACTATAGTGTTATAGGGCTGGCAGGATCTTTGTTTTATTCACTGATGTATCCCAAAGGTCTAGAGCAGTGCGAGGCACATAGTAGGTATTCAATAAATATGGTATTGTACTAAACTAGAAAAGGAATAGTCTCAAAAATATGTTTAAGGATACAGATACATGAATTCTGCCTACTTTCTAGCTCATGGTCAAATTGAAGGCCTTCTCTAACCACCTCTTCAAATCAGGTCCCTTGTTAATATATTTCCTAGCCCTTAACACTATTTGTGATTAGGTATTTATTTGTGTGATTTGTTAGTTTAATGACTAGATAGTGATCTCCATGCTGGCAAAAAACGTGACTGGTTTCCCACACACTTTACTCTCAAAATCTTGTAGGCTGGCATCTAGCACATGTAGATGCACAGTAAATATTGATTGATTAATTAATTAATTAATTTAACAAACATTTATTGAGTGCCTGCTGTACACCAATCACTATTCTAGCCATTGGGAATATAGATAGGAATAAAACAAAGCCCTTTCCCTCAAAGCTTGTATTCTAATGAGGAAGAAGAACAAGCTAGAGTGTGTGGCCTATCACATGGTGATAAGAACAACACAGAAAAACAAAGAAGGCTAAAGGCTATGGGAAACATCAAGTGATAAATAAATGATGATAGAATGTTGAGTTTAGTCAAAGAACTTCTGCCAGAGTAGCTTTAGACTTGGAAGTTTCCCTTCTCTGAAACCTTGTGGTGTGGTTGGGTGAGGATGGACAGATGTGGTTAAACAGCAAAGGCAGAGAAGTGGACTAATGGCCAAGTAATAAAACAGTAAGATAAAATTGGCAGATTCCAAAAGACAACAATATAAAAGGAGAACATACAAGTATCAAAGATCACATTATACCAGGTATTATAATACAGTTGATTAAAAGTCTGTGTTCAGAACCAAGATTCTAAGAATCAGAGATATTAGAATAAGAGTGAATGGGGAACAAATTAGGTTAGACTACTTATAGGCTACTTATATGCATATCAGAGAACCACATTGACTTCTTTATTCACCTGCCTTTGACCTTTGAATGTTCAAGGACATTAAAACCATGAAACCACTGAAGAATTGCATGTTTAAGTGATAAACCTGTTTCATCCTTAAACAGACATTGGCTAAAGCTTCTTCTGGTGAATGAAATCCATTCCGTTAAGGGCTTTGTATGCAAACCTATATCCTTAAGAGATTAAAGATGTAATTTAGACACACATTTCAGGAGCTGAATGCATGAACCATTATTTTAGTACATATTGTCCATTAATCTGCTGTTCAATTGGGAACCCATTTAGAATGTGGTTGCTTGCTAATTAGCAGGATTCTAGTGCTGAGCTGCTTCCTGATTAAATGTCCTTTGGAATCAATAAAACATCAGGAGGGATTATGGTGATGTTGGATTAGCCCCATCTAACCAAATAAAATGAATTGTGTTCTCTTCTTAAACTGTCACATTGTGAGAGCTGATGAGAGGAGCAATTTCGTGAATGCTGTTGCAAAGTTGTTGTTTTGTGTGTGTGCTTTTTTTGTAACACTGAGATTTTATTTTTTGCAATTTGCCTACCAATTAGCAGAGACATTACTGAATGACTGCCAGGGTAAGGCGATTTTGAGAAAGACTTGATTACGATTTCAAATCTCTACTCTGAATCACACTTATGTAAAATGAGTTCAGGTTGTGTTGGATGGAAATTATTATCCCTGTTCTTGGCTAGGAACATGTAAGTCAGAATTAGCATTTAATGTTTCTGTGTGACTTTGCAATAAATGGTAATTAAGGAGGGCAGAGAGAGAACAGGAGGCAAACTAATACTCTAAAACTGTATTGGCAAAATTAAATGCTTCAAGCCCAGTTTAAAACACAAGCACACAAGCCAAATTATGTTGGGCTAGAAGATAAATAATGAAGCTGCTATGGAAGCTCCGTAAATAGAGTGGAGCAATTGACACAGCCACAAGTAGGACTTACCATACACATCTGGCCCATTATTAGACTGCAATTAGGTTGAAAAGGACTGGTTTGATAATCCCAGGAACAACCAGAGGATTTTAGGAGATAAAGGAAACATGAGGTGTCTGATTCAGCAATTACTTTTTAATGAGAAAAGGAAAATTGTTAGGCAGCAAGCTATTAGAGATGTGGTTTGGATCTACCCATTGATTCAGTCTTGGAAACTAGACCTGGCTTTTAAGAGTTCATTAATTCCAGTCTTCTCTTCCAGAAGGCTGTAATTCATATGAGATGAAGATAACAATAGTAATAATAATAATGATGAAATTATTGTTATTATTAATAGCCAACATTTATATAGTGCTTACTATATTCCAGGCAACATTCTAAGTACTTTATAAATATTGACACTTTTAATCTTTGCAAGTGCCCTGTGAGGTAGGTACTATTGTTTTTCAGATGAGGTACAGAGGGGCTAAAATCTATATGCAACTGATAAATTAATTCATCGATAGGCTAAATCAAATGCAGGTTGTCTAGCTTCAGGGTCTTGGCTCTTAATACACCATCCTGACTCTCCTACAAGCCCTGTCAAACTCATAGTTTATAGCACAGTGGCTAAGGACCGGGAGTGTTAGGCAAACTGCCTGAGGTCCAAGGCCAGCTCCACCTGTGGCCTTGATACTGAACACAGTTCTAGAATGAGGAGCTGAGTATCTCCCACCCTGCCCTATAGGACCTAGGAGAGGTGTAGGATACAGATAAAACCACAGGGAGGTTTTAAGTTCCAGGAGTGGATAGGATCCAAAGCAGCCCAGGGCTTGCAGGGAACTTCTCACTGGTTTGAAACTACCCCCATGCAAAAAGGCAGCAGGAACTCTAGAATCACATAGGCCAAGATAGAAACCCTGTCCCGGAAATGCACTGGCTTTGGGAATGTGGGCAAGTAAATAATTTCTCTTCACTTTTATCTTTCATCTGTCAAATGGAAAAAGTATCCTTTTGTCTGAATTTGAGTTCATTGCCTGCATATCAGGGAAGGGCTCTGCTTGTCAGAGATAACTGCAAGAGGAGAAGAATGCAACTTAGGCTACATGACTATGA